GGGCGGAGGAGGGGAAGGGGTAGGGAGGAGGGAAGGGAAGAGAGGGAAGGGGGTAATGGAGGGGGGACGGGAGGGAGATGAGGAGGGAGAGGGGAGGAGAGGAAAGATGATTGGTGGGTTGGTGCTGTCTGTCTATTTATATTTTTATGACTATTTTTCTATTTGTCTGTCTGTTCGTCTGTCTATTGATTTATGTATTTATCTATCTGTCTTCTCTCACTCTCTAACTGGTCCTGGAACGACAATTATCTTTTACATCTTTCCATCTATCTATCTATCTATCTATCTATCTGTCATGTCAATCTATCCATCTATCTGTCTTTGACCTGACTGTAGACACCACTGTCATAGCCAGACTCCGCCCCCCTCTATCTACGTATGTATCTATCTATCTATGTATCTATCTATGTATCTATGTTTCTATCTATGTATCTATCTGTCCATCCATCTATCTGTCCATCTTTGACCTACCTGACTGTAGACACCACTGTGATCCCCAGACTCTGCCCCATCTATCCGTCTATTTGTCCATCTATTTGTCCATCCGTCTATCTATCTGTCCATCTTTGACCTACCTGACTGTAGACACCACTGTCATCCCCTGACTCCGCCCCGTCCGTCCCATACCCATCACGTGACGGAGTGAACCGCCCCGCCCTCACGTCAAACACCGGAGAGGCGCATCTGTTGATTGGTGCGTTCGCCTCCTTGATCACGTGGTACTTGAAGGCGCCCCTCATTGGATGAAGCTGCCGGAAACACGTCACGCAATATGTCACGGAGCAATCGGAACACTTCTTGGAGGCCACTCTCGCCGGCTCGTCGTCGCAAACCTCGCACAGAATGTTGTTGGCTTTCTTCTCTTCCTCCACGCTCATGATGATGTTGGCTAGAGACGTGTTCTTGGGCAGGCCGGCGATTCCCTCGGGTCCCAGTTTGATCTCCAGACGACACTGAGGGCACACCAGAACGCCGTCATTTCTCCTCTGCGCTTCCGAAGTGCCGGGCGCTGTATTGGTCCCGTTGTTATTGCTGTTGTTGTTATTGTTGTTATTACCGGCGCTGTTTATCGCGTTGTTGCCGTTATTTTGACCCCCATTAGGTTGTGGCTTTGATCTGCTCCGCTCGTGCACGTTGAAGAGACACTGCCGGCAGAAGGAGTGAGCGCAGGGCAGGAGGACGGGCGTGTTGAAGGTCTCCAGACACACGGAGCAGATGAGCTCTTCCGTGAACCCGCCGCTCGTCGACGCGGCCATCTTGATGACGCTGCTGGTGACTCAGACTCAGAGGGCTGGGTCGTCTGCTACAGGTCTGGGTGTGGCGGCGGCGGGAAATAGAAAGGGAGAACATATGTCATGTGTGTGTGTGTGTGTGTG